CATCTTTCCATATTCGGTCCATCACCTATGAAAAAGAGGGACATAGGTGGGGCTGAGGCAACTAACAGCAATGCTGAACATGTCCATTACAGTACTGGTAAGCACAACTCCCAGTTACTTATACTCCGGGGGAAGCGAGTAAAATTGCAAATAGCTAATAGATTTTAATTAACGTCCTCTGACTGTGAAATCCAACTTGTTAAACCCCCAGGTAACGGACAAAGGGAAGTAAAGTACGTGCGACAAAGGACTTGACCCATGTGCCGATGATCAATAATAGTCGTACAACAGTCATTTATGCACTTTTTGTTCGAGATATGATATTAAAAAATACTAGCAGTCGGGATTTGATCCCATACTCACAATGCTTAACTGAAATAAACAAGTAAAACACGTCAAAAACCGACAATGTAAGAAATACTGAGGCAGCTGACAGCAATGCTAAACATGTCTATTACACGACACGACCGAGAGACACGACTGCGTGAAGCCCAATGGAGGTGAGACTGGGTACAGAGACTGACTAGGCGTTTTGTCTCGTCTTCCGTACGCCGCACGCGCACTGGTTCCCCATTTCCAACCCGGACTTTCAATAGCCAGCTGCTGTGTCCATTTCAAAGTCGGACAAAAGGGCAGAATTCACTAAAATATAAAACGCGTATTAAGACGAAAATATGGAGAGATAAACTTTAGCCAATGGTAACAATTCCCAAGTGGAGTTTGAAATGAATGGGACAACAGGATAACACTAACCTTCAGCAACTGCAAAGTTAGCATGTCCTGACGAAGGTCATCGCCGTGCTTGAACAACAGTTGAAGTTTTTTGTGATGGTGGGCACCCAGGATGTCCGGATTGGTCCAGACGACCATTAGTGGGCGCTTTTTGGAGCGCTTCACGGTGAACTGGCGGTCAATAATGGAGCCAAGTTTTTCACTGAAACAAAGTGGCGAAGTTATCTTCACAAGATCACGACGAATCTCCGCTTTGGCAAGCTCGGATTAAGACCAGGCGCGTTGTTCCTCATCATCAGTAAGCTGCTGCCGTAACAAAGAAGCAGTCATTGAAGTAAGTGAAATAAAAGGCATAAACGTATATGGACAATTATTATATAGTGCGCAAATTCCCCGTCTGACGACGTGGTCGCTCACACACTCACGAAGAAGGCAGCCCTGTACTGGTGCAATCAACACTGTAACGCCCAGACAGCCCTGTACTGCTGCAATCAACACTGCTAGGCCCAGGCAGCCCTGTACTGCTGCAATGAACACTGCTAGGCCCAGGCAGCCCTGTGAGCCTTGTACTGGCGCAATCAACACTGTAAGGCACAGGCAGCCCTGTACTGGCGCAATCAACACCTTTCAGTCAGGGCTTCAACAAGATCTATCCAAAACTACAATGTCTGGCTTTCACACGCACATTACGGCCCACTTTCTTGTTCTGGTACATTATCGCACATATGCATCCCCCCACGCCAGCC